TGTTTCGCCTGTGCCTGAGGTCCCTGCCGCTGGTTTGCAACACCGGGAGGAGGCTGTACGCAAACCCCAGGACTGTGTTCAGCTGGGAAAGATGCTGAAGCCAATGCCCACCAGTAAGTGCAGCACAGGCAGACTTTTGCGCGTCGGTATTTGGTACTTTCAAGCATGCCGGTTTAGCTGAAAAAACATCTGTGAACCCTCAGAAAGGGTGATCTCAGGCTCCCCAAAGCCAGGGGAAAGCCTCCTGTCGATGCTGAGAGAAAAACTGCTGTATGTTTTTGGGGAGAAACACAGGAAAAAACATTTGGTAGAGGTGGTGAGCTTCCCTCTTCTTCTGACCAGCAACAGCCCCACGTCCCCTTCTTGCCCAGGCGCCTGGATTTCTGTCTGGTGTGGACAGAAGAGGCTGCGCCCCAGGCCCCAGCCCAAGCGGAGGTCGGGGCTGGCCAACCCACTCTCCAGCCCCATCCCGCAAATGTTCCCAAACCCCAGCACTGAGACCTATCCCTTCACCCAGGCGGTATCAGCCTCTCCCGGGAGGCTTAACCACACTGGCAGGAATATGCTGCTGGACGCTTAAAGGACAGGTTGAACTGCATCAATTCTGCGTGCAGGAGAGTTTCTTGCTTCGGGTTTCCCCTCTCGCCTCCTCCCCACCCCGCTCCTTGCAATCCCCAAGCATTTTGTGAGAGCTGGAGGTTGCACAATCCCCAAGCCTCGCAAAGATGCAGCACTGAGCACTTCAGTTTTTTTGTTTCCCTGAGGTATTTGCACTTGAGAGCTTCTCCTTGCTACTGAATTTCTTATTTCCCCATGGAGTCTGGCTTGCTATAAACAATGCCTGCATGTTGTTGCTATGTAGGTCCAGCTGGAATCTGCCTATGGTGCAAAAGAAAAAAAAAATTATATATAAATTCAGAAAGCCACCCACTGACAGGCAATTTGCATCTTTATCTGGAAGATTTTTTTTTAAAAAGATTTTTCTAATGAAAGTTCAGTTCCTGAGTTTCTATGGAAACTCATCTGCTTGGTGTGCATGCATAATTTTATAAAGTCAGATCTCAGGAAGATGAGCAATTAGTATAAATACAAGCAGGAACGCGATCAAGGGTTTCATCCTCTTATTCCTGAAGATGGAGGGTGGGGCTGGGTTTTGTTGTCTTTCCTTGGTCTGCATTTGTGTTTTTGTCAAATTAGAACACAGAAAGCGGTGTACAAGGTGGCCTCGCTCCTCTGCCACCTCCTGGCTAGCACCGGCACTTCTGGTTTGGCCCCGTTGTTTTCCTCCCAAAGATGGCGAGGGCCTCGAAGTGGGGCCTCCTCTGTCAGCGTTGTCGGTACTGAGTCAAGGCCCTAAGGAGCAATGAGGACAGGCTGCTTTTGAAACTCAAGCATATTATAAATAGTAAAAAACCCCAAAGCAAAAGGCATGTGGGAATCGTTTTGCTTTTGAGCGCCTGTGGGCAGCATGCTGCCAGGGCAAGCTTGCACTGGGCCTGTGCTAGCCCCATGGAGGCGCTTCATGTGCCGCTTGCATTGGCATGGCTGTATGGCGCTTGGATGCTACCTCACTCGCTCAAGGAGGTCCGAGGGTAACTCGTGCAGATTAATTTAATTTTCTTCTTTATGTCTGAAGGCGTACTTCAGCTCCTATAAACGGAGGCTGAGCAGCGAAGGTTGAGCTTTCAAGCCAGACTGCAAAGGACGGCGCTGAACACACGGGACGAAATTCCATTCCAGGTGAAGGGCTGCGGCACGGCGAAGCTGGTACAGCCTAGCGGTGCATGGAGGCAGAGGGGAGACAGCGAATTCGGTTTGCTGATTTCGGGTGCCTTATGCTGGCAGCTGGACTCCAGAATTGATTGTTTTTAATTTCAGGGCACAGGGGGTGCATATGGGATGTTTTTCAAAGGCATTTTTGACCTCGTCTGCATGCAAAGCCAAACAAAACCTAAACCACTTCTACAGTGGCACTGGGTTGGACTCCCTTGCCTTCAGTGATGTGATACTTAGTAATTGATACTTGAGTGAGGCTATTTTTGTTTTAGAATAGGAGAGCTGTGTTTCAATTTAAGTTAGATGAGCAGAAAAGTGACTTGTTTTCAATTTCCACTAATAAAGAAAGTGAGCAGAAGCCCCTCTTGAAGCCCCACTTCAGGAGGTCATGAAATTTCTGATATGTGCCTCCATTTCCTTAGAGTTTGACAAAACCTCCTTAAAGGTTTTTAGCTCATAAAATACCCAGAAAATAGTGCATAAATAGACATTATGAAAGACTACAAAATAAGCCTCACGTACAAGCTGGAGTTTATTTTTAGTAATGAAAGTCAAAACTTCCTTCGCAAATGTTTAGTTCAAACACCTGATGAGCAGCAGGGAGTTATCCTGAGTCTTGGCATCCCCGTCTCCTTCCACTAAGGTGGCACAGGTTTACTTGGTCTTTCCTTTGGGGCTTGCATTGGAAAGACATGCCCAGAAAAATGTTTATTTCATTCCTGGAAGATTGCTTTTTTGTTTGCATGGTCATCTCATTCTTGGAGAGTCTGTGTAGGTAGACTAGACTCTGTCTTTTACAAACTGATTTTAGTAATTACTTTAAATGCAAGTTCTCTCTTTCTTTGCATGAGACTCAGATTCCAAAGTGAGGTTCTCTCTGATGCTTTTCTCAACCGAGCAGAGCGTTTTCGCCCATTGTTGTCAAAATACCCTAAGAAGTTTCCAGAAAAAAAAGTAGACTTTGCAGACTTTGCTGTTGGGCTTCTGCTAGTGCATTAGTTAATTAACTTCAAGGTAAATAGGGTATCCTTACTGTCCTTAATACGGCCATGTCACTAG